GTGAGTTCTCGCTCTATTAGTTCCTGCGAGAGCTGGTTGTTTAAAAGACCCTGGCACTTCCCCCCTCTCTCTCTGGCTCCCTCTCGCCATGTGATCTACTTGTACCTGCTGGCTGCCTGCTGCTTTCCACCATGAGTAGAAGGAGCCAGAGGCTCGTGCCAGATGCAGCTGTCCCAGAATCGTAAGCCAAATAAACCTCTGTTCTTTATACATTATCCAGTGTCAGGTATTTCTGTTATAGCAACACAAAATGGACTAATACAATGTCCCTCCCCAGTTGAGCCTTCAGATGAAACTGCAGCCCCCAGCTGATAGCCTTATGGCAATTTCATGAAACTCTGAGCCAGAGGCACCCATGTAAGCCACACCTGAGTCCCTGATCCTCAGAAACTATGAGATAATAAATGTTGTTTTAAACTGCTAAGTCTTGGGGTAATTTGTTATGTAGCAATAGGTAACTAATACACCTTCTCATCTGAATACCCCTTCAATGACAGTTCTTCCTGCATCCCTCCTTGAGCCCTTAGCTATGGCCATACTAGACTGGTCTTCCTAATGGGCCAAGCTGATTCATGTCCCCAGCCCTTTATTCATGCAGATCCATCCTCCAGAAGTCCTGGACCACCGACCTAACATATTCCTCTCCCAAGACTCAGCTCCAGTGTCACCTTCTCTGTGAAGACTTCAGTCATTTTCTGTGCCCACTGCAGCCTGAGCAGTTCCTATTAAAACAAAACTAACACATCCCCACCTTGGTTCATTTACAGGTCTGTCTCCCCTACTAGGTTGTGAACTCCAGAGGGCAGGACCACAGTTTGATTCTTCTCTGCATTATCTGATGGTCAGCACAAGTCTGACACAAGTCGGTGACACTTTGATTAGTGAATAAACAATTGAGTGACTGGTTTCCCATTCACTCAATCTGTCCCCCATGCCCTGTCTCACCAATGCCATCTTCCAAGGCTGCACACTTTCCCACTCAAGAATATAAAACCCAAATTGTTATCCTCCCCAAGAAACCAGCCTTTTCTGCCAACCCAACTTCCCCATTTCTTTTCCAGAATCATCACCTCCCCACAAGCTGGCATTCCCTGTTACCTCTGACTCCTTCCCCTCCTCCCTTTCTGACTTGGCTTCACATCACACTGTTTCACTGGCAGAATATCCCTTGGCCATACCCCTCTCTTCCCCAGCACTGTGGACACACAGTCCAGCCTGTCTTCATCTCCTGAGATTACTGTCCCAGCTCCCCTACTGATACTGCCTCCTGTCTCTGGCACCCCTGTTCATCCATCCAGGGATCTTGAAAATGCTGCCTCTCTCAGAGGGCTGAAGGAAGGAGCCACAGAGATGGTAGAGGCAACAGCACTTTATCAGGTGAGGCTCACTGCATCCATCCCCAGGCTAAACTTTCACTGAGTATCCAGGGCCCCTGGAATAGGGTCCAAACTCTTAGTCTGGCATTTGAGGCACCCCCAGATCCGGCCCCAATCTCTGATTCCAATGGAGAATGCAAGAGGAAGTGGCACAAGTAGGCTTCAAACCCCCTATACCACCATCACCATCACTGTGCATACTGCCGAGCACCTGCTGCAGGCGGGGCTGTGTATATCTCATTTCCTTTAGTTAACATCTACAAGCACTTCCTGTGCACTAGAAACCATTACGAGTGCTTTACATGTCTTAAGTCCTTGACTTTGCACACCACTTTATGAAAGAGGGTTTTACACTTGGCCAAGGTCACAACCGAAAACTAGCAGGGTTGCAATTTGAACCCAGGTCTGTCTACTTCACAGCCTTCTTCCCATCATATAGTGCCTTTCCCGAACTTCTTATGGTTACAAACCACCTTCATGATTCTTTGCTACATTCCAACACCACCTGTAGTAGCGTTTACATGATATTTTTTCTTAAATTAACTATGTGGCATGGTGGTTAAGAGGGTCGGCTTTGGAACCACACTACCTGGGTAAGAATCCCAGACTCTCCACTTACTCTCTGTATGAGCTCTCTGAGCCTCAGTTTCTTCAGTACTTTCCCTTACAGGGTTCTTGTGGGATTAAACGAGTCAAGTCATACAAGCGCTCAGCACACAGGAAAAGTGGAAGTCATGGGGCTCCGCTCACAGAAAGATTGCACTCCCTTCTCCTTGAATCAGAAGTGACTACGTGACTTGCTTAGGCCATTGAAATGTGCATGGAAGTTAGGCGTGGGTCATTCCAGATGGATGCTTTAGAGCCAGTATACAACCTGCCACACTCTTTCCTTCCTTCTGCTCTGATGATAGCAACATTCCAAATGGCTCCTTCAATCACTTGGCTCCCAGAGGGAGCAGTCCCAAGCTGACCCATGACAGACATGTAGCGCTGAGTGAGAAACAAACTTTTAGCATTTTGCCACCTCGGCATGGCCTGGCCTATACCAACTGATAGCATAAAAGCTCAATAAATGTTAACTTATTAGCATATCAGAGTTATTTATTATACATTTTCTTAAAAAGGGAACCATATCACTTTTGCAAATGAAAAAAAAAAAAACACCACTTACCATCATTAATCGTCATATAATAATTAAAATGAAAAATTATCCTATGCCAGCCAAAATCATCTGGTATGCCCTCTGCAGTACGTCACGGATCATCCTTCAGGAGGTGCTATTCAAGCGCCTCCCTCTAAGATGCTGAATAGTGGCTGCAGGTTTAGAATCCCTGGCCACAGAGTACCTCACGGTCAGCTCCAGGCCTTTGCCCTCGACAGCCTGAGCTCCAGCTGCCAATACCAGCTTCGTGCATTTGCAGGGGTACCTGCCCCACTGTGGCCCTTACCTCGGCAGACGGTGCCATTCTCCACAGCCTCGAAGCCCGCTTTGCACATGCAGCGCCCAATGGGCACCAGCCACTCGCCATCCCCGTTGCAGTAGAGCTTGATGGGTACATCCACCTCTTCAGCATTGGCAATGCAGCTGCCCCGGGCAGCCACCAGTGATGTGCTCTCGGCCCCTGACAGAGTCTCCTGGAAGATGGCGCCGTTCTGGATGATGCGGGGGCACTTGCGGTAGAAGACGCGCACAGCAATGAGGGACATGCAGCCACCGTAGTCCTGGAAGGCCAGGTAGAAGCCGCTGCGGGACACAGGTCCGAAGCTCCGCACCTCGGTGTTGATCTTCATGACCCGGCCACCCAGATCCACCTGGGAGAAGCTCTCATCTGCTGCAATGGTATCCACTTTCACCCATGGGTTCTCCATCCAGTTGGGGAAGGTCTTGGTGGCCGAGTCAAAGTCAGCCTCATAGTAATAGAGGTTGAAGGTCTCTTTGCAGGAGCCAGGAACACTGGGGATGCTGCTGCAGTCACGCACCGAGAACTTCATCTCCACGTGGATGCGGTGGGCGCCACGGCGCCGGATGAACTTGGTCCGTAGCCAGTTGTTCTGGCTCGACTCAAACACGTTGCACACCTGGTACGTGCGGATCGTGTTCATGTTCTCATCGTAGCCACTCACCTCTTCCCACTGTGGGTGAAATGCTAGTCAGGTGGGGGAGGTAAGTGCTCAGCCCCAGCAAATGCCCTGTCTAAGGGGGGAGACACAGACTCTGCCTTAGGGAATCCTCCAGTAGGATGATGGAGACATCAGAAAATTCCCAGTCTGATGAGAGAGACGTGGCCTTGGGCCTGAGGAATTCCCCAGGCTATAAAGCACACACCCTGCTCTTGGTATACCCCTAGTCCATATGGGACAAGTGGCCCTTACTGTCAGGGGTTCAATAATCTGATGAAGGAGACATGGACCCTGATCCTGGGAAGTTCCCACCTGGAAGGGAAAATAGGAAGAACCCTGCCTGTAGGGAGCTCCTTCTGGTGAAGGTAGACAGCTTTGTGCTTGGGGAGCTACCAGTCTGATGGGAAAGATAAAACTTCTGCCTTCTGTGAGCCCCTGTCTAACCAAGGAGATACAGTCCTTGCTCTTGGGAACTCCCAGTGTGATGGTGGAAGACAGTCTTCACTGTTGTCAAACTCCTAGGGTGATGGGAAGACAGGGTCCTTCCCACGAGAGCAGCTCTGCTCTGGGGCTTTCAGTGGCTAAGATTTCCTGACAGCTGGCTGCCGTCCAGTACCTGGAGGGAGACGGCCCACCCTCCCCAGGTCCTGGACTGAGCTCTCACAAACCCAGCTGAGAGGTGTCAAGGCTCACTGCTGGAGGGGGCTGGGCCAGACGATGGAGAGTTGGGATGGGGAGACACAGGGCCATGTCAGGTCCTCACAGACTCTCACGGGCCAGGCTCATTCCCACGCCAATCCTTCTCTCACACTTTTGCGCCCTCCTTGAGCACCGTCTCTCGTCTCCTCTGCAGCGGGCTCTCCCTCTGGCTGCCTGCTGTTTGCATTCTCTAACTCACCCTTGGGCCGTTGGGGGCAATCTCCCTGGGAGAGGGCCTGGCACACTCAGCCCTCCTGGTCTGGACTCCCCAGTGGACTGAGAGCTGCTGAGGGCAGCCACCCATCCTCTCCTTCTCCTGTGCCCCCCTTGGTGCTGGGCTGGCTTCGCCTGGGGTAGACCCAAAAGAGCTCCAACAGCAGAGTCCCTCCTCCTACCCGTGCCAGGCTTGGAGCTGGGTGCCCTAACAGAATCTCATTTCTTTGTCATGATTATCACACGTTGTGTATATGGTTATCCCCATTTTACAGATGAGGGAGTAGAGACCAGAGAAGTGAGTTCACTTGACCCACATCACAGACCCAGACCCATTCACGTGGTTGCCCATGCTGCCTCGAAACACAAGTACCCCAACAACGTTTCAGGGGTCCTGGGTTCTAGGCTCAGCTCTGCTAACTTGATGCATGGCTTTGGGGAAGTCACTTCCCCTCCCTGGGACTCTATTTCCCCAATTGCCAAATGTGACTGTTGGGGAGTGGTGGGCGGCAGCTGAGGTGACTGTGGGAGAGGTGTCACCCTCAAGTGGGCATTCTTCGTCCTGTTGCAGCTCTCTGTGCGGGGTGGAGCATGGGCTGCCAGCCTGGGGAGGGCCGCAGGCTGTGAAGGGTGAGTGCATGTGGGGAAGGCTGAGCTGGTGCTTGCTGGCCCAGCCCCTACTTCAGTGGCGACTATGAAGCTCCCTACGTTGCATTTAATTTTTTTTTTCTTTCTGGTGGCACCATGTGACAAAGTCAGCCCCTTGTTACCACCGCTGCTCTTCTTCAGAACTTAATTAGAGCACTTAATTAGAGCACTCTGCCTTTCTCCCCTCTCTCTAATTAACATGCGGAGGCCCTGCAGCCTAAACACCCCAAATAATTGCGTCCGGGGGCCCTGCAGCCCAGCCTGGCCTCATTACTGGCAGGGTGGGGCTGTGGGCCCAGCCGCCTTCGCAGATGGAAAATTGGTGACAAGAAAGAGCCACAGAAAGAAGCCTGACCCTAGGGCCCTGACTATTGAGAGCACAGGCCTAGGGGTGTGTCGCGGGGGGAGGGAGGGAGAGGGAGGGGTGCAGCTCCCAGGGGGCAGCAGCTGAGTCTCAGTGGAGGAGCTGGGGTGGGGGAAGGAAAGGGATAGGTTGTAGAGTCCAGAGTCCTCCTCAGAGACCAGGGGGATGAGGAGTGAATGTTCAAATTGATGACAATGACAATGATGATGGTGACAATTATTATAGCTACTCTTTATTGGGAGTCCAATCTATGGCCAGGCACTGTGTAAGACACTGGCAGGAAAACCTCACAATGGTCCCATGAGGAAGACATTATTATCACCATTTTACAGATGAGGAAACTAAAGCTCAGAGAGATTAAGGAACCGGCCCCAAATCACACAGCTGGTGAGTGGCAGAGTTGGGACAGAATTTCAGGAGTGTGCGACCCCACAGCCTATATTCAAGTGGGCTGGCTGCTGTGGGAAGAAAGAAGAATCTCAAATTATGCCCAATCTTCTTCTTGAGGAGCTCACGGCATAGACAGGGGCTCAGACTATCCAGCCCAAGGAAGTATGAGAAAAGAGCCCAAGTAGGGGATCCTTGTGTCATAGGGACCCAGTCCGAGGCAGAGAACACTGGGTCACAGCCCAGTATACAAACCTGAGCCCCCCAATTTACTAGCTATAGGGCCCTGGGCAGGTGGCAACACCTCTCTGAGCCACCGTTTTCTTATCTGTAAAATGGAGGTAATTCCTCCCCATATGGTTGGAGATGATGTGAATAAAGGGGCTTCATATCGTATCTGACACCGAATGGGTACTCAGGAAATGACAGTTCACTTTCCCCTTAAAATAGGAGAAGTGAGAATACCAACTTCTCAGCTTCACCCCGAGGATTCCATGGGATAAAGGCTGAAAGCACCCAGCATGTTGTCATGATAACTGGTGCTCCATCAATGCTAGGGGATTGGGAAGGTGGGGCTGCGAGAAGTCTGGCTCTGGGCTCTGAAGTGGGGAAACAAGCTGGAAGGTGAGGGGGCATTCAGGCCCTGCAGCAGAGCCCCAGGTATCCCGGAGGACCAAGCAGGGTTTGGGGACCACTGACTCACCCCTGACGGAGGATGCACCATCCAGCCCAGCTCAGCCGTAGCTGTAGTGGAGTCCATCAGCGTTTCTGTGGGGAGAGCAGAGAGTCATCATCCCGCCCTGTCTACAGGGCACTATCAATCACACTGTGGGGGGGGGGCTCTAAGACCCCCACCTCTGGAAGTCCTTCTTTACAGAGCCCCACCTACTTCCGTTGCCCCAAGCAATCACCTGGCTCTAATCCTCCGGACTGCCCTCTCCTTAGACCCCGCCTCTCCACTCCATAACCCTGCCCACTCCCACAGCCTAGCCAATCATCTGATTCCATTCCTCTATGCCCCGCCCCTCTAGAAGAAGTCCTTCTTTACAGAGCCCCACCTACTTCCGTTGCCCCAAGCAATCACCTGGCTCTAATCCTCCGGACTGCCCTCTCCTTAGACCCCGCCTCTCCACTCCATAACCCTGCCCACTCCCACAGCCTAGCCAATCATCTGATTCCATTCCTCTATGCCCCGCCCCTCTAGAAGCAACTCCAGCCCTTCCAGGCATGGTCAGGCCCCACACTCTCAGCCAATTATGTCCCACTAACCTAGGTATTGTCCTTTCCCTCCCTTTCTGGCGGGGGAGGGTCTTAACCTGGGGTGTTTGCAGAGGGTCTACCATCAACCAAACCTTTGATATTTTAGGTCAAACTTTGGGTATCTGTTCACTTTTCAGCTTCCATCAAATTCTCAAAAACTGGCATTAGAGGGGCCCCTCTTCTGTCCCAACCCAGCACTATCAGTTACCCTTTCCCATCCCTCTGCCCACACATCCTGCCAGGGCACCCTCCCCCCTTCTCCAGGAACCTGGACTCCTCCTATGTCCCCATCCCTGGGTCCCCTCTCCCAGAGCTCAGCCAACTCTGCCCCCAGGATAGGGCCCTGGGGGTGGAGGGGTGTTGGAACCAAGCACTGTGCCCAGTGGGGGCCCAGTTGTCACATGCCCTCTGGGGGTCGAGAAATCAGATCAGCTTCTGAACCAGCCAGGGCCCCACTTGCCTCCCCTTGCTCCAGCAGCTGGAGGGACAGAGCCACACAGCCTAGGGTGAAGGAGACCCACAGTGCCCTAGAGATCCCCGTTCATCCCATGTCAGGCTTGGGACCCCTCCCCTCTACCTCTTCCCTGCCACTGGGGCTTCAAAACACCTTTTGAATTGAATTGCAATGCACTGAGTGGATTTAAATGGACTCCTTTCAAGCATTCATTCAACAAATACATCCTGATGCCCATTATGTACCAGGCACTGTGCTAGGTACCCTGAGAGAGAAAATGGTGAACATGAAGACCCTACTACAGAGTGATTCGCAGTTTGGTAGTGGAGATGAGCCATGAATACAAATAGCTATGAGAGAGTGGGTAGAGAGACCTAGAAGGTCACAGTGGGACCTTCCACGCCACCTAGCTCAGCGAGAGTAGACGAGAGACCTGTTTGCTGCTAAGCTCCAACTCTGTGCCCAGGGCAGGCATCAATAATCAATCCCCACACTCTGTAGCCACACAGTTTCTTACCACAGTGTTGCAGGAAATGAATTCCAACCATGCGAGATTGCTCTCCTTGGTCCAGCCCAACCACCTCATTTTGGAGATAGGGCAACTGAAGCACAGAGAAGGGAAAGGACTTCCTAAAGATCATACAGGAGTTGGTGGCAGAGTGGGCAGTACAGGTGTCCTGCCTTCTACCCTATAAACTTCCAGGAACTTGAAATTAGTTTGATGGTCTGGGCCAGATGAATTACAGCCAGGAGACCGGGGGAGGGTGCCCAGTGTGCAGGCTGCTGAGAAGGTCCAAATGAGAGGTAATGGGGGCTTGAACTATGGCAGGGGCAGTGGGCATGGGGGTGGGGATGGGAGGCAGCATTTGGCCAAGGTGACCCCAGTCAGACCCTTGAGCTGACAAGAGAGGATGCAGAAGTGTCCCCATGACCGCCTGTGGATTGAATTTGCGGTCACTGAGTCCCTTTGCACTAGGGGCCGGCCCAGAAAGGAGGGTTGGAGCGGGGGGAAGTGCCAGGGACGGTGGAGCCAGTGCCAAGGGCATCTTTTTGATGGCAAATTGGAGGGAAGTTCTATTATGCTGCTTTGGAGCTGAAAAAAGGGTTCCTTTTCACACTCCGAATGCTACAGATTTTTCTTCCTGGAGAGAACAAGGGTTGAACTTTTAACCTGTTTTCTCTCATCGGCCTCAGCCAGAGACGCGCCAAGCTGGGCTCTCTGCCTGGGCCTGAGGAACAGCTGCTGGGAGCTGCGTTGAACAAGGGAGAGGAGAGACTCTGCTTGGGACAAGAAAGGGGTCGGGTGGGAGAGGCAAGCCCGCCAAGCAGGTGGTCCCCACCCCTTGGCTGGATTCCTGGGCTGACCCAAAGGCCAAGCACTGGGGGATTCCATGGCCCAGAGAAGGAGGGGCTGGGAACTGACATCCTCATTGTGAGGGTGGAAACTTGGACCGATAGAGGGCAAGTGACTTGCCAAAAGTCACACACTAGAAACTGGGACTCAAACTCTGGGCTCTTCAGAAGCTCAGGCCAGGGGGTTCCACTGACCCCCTCTCCTTCCATCACACCTGGCTCAACACATGCTAGTGGGGAACAAGCAATGGGAGGATCTCAGAAGGTCTGGAAGTAAATGTACTGGCTGGTTCACAGACAGGAAGGGACTGAGAGGGGATGTGAAGTTTGCAGATCCCCTTGGAAGGAGGCAGGAGGGTGGGCACCTCTGCTCCCTTCTTGCCATGCCAGTCCTGGGCTTTGCCTCGGAGACTAGCTCTGAGAAAGCTGTCACTCCTCTGGGCTGTGACAGGAAACAGCACATGGGTGCTCTCCCTGAAACTTCCCCGGGGCCTTTTGCTTTCCAATTTTGACACCCCCCTCTACACTCTGCACAAAAGGCAGGTAAGCAGAGAAGACAGACCTGGGGTTTGAAGGTCAGAGAGACCTTGATTCTAACTTGTCACTTACTTGCCTTGTAACCTTGGACCTTTCTAAGCCTCAATTTCCTCCTCTGAAAAATGGCCACAGTACCTTCCGAGTGTGGATGTGAGGACTAAATGAGAGGGCAAGTGTATTAGCTTGGTGCCCAGCACAAAGCAGATCCTCGGTAAGCAGCAGCTGTTATTTTTAGATGGAGTGTGGTGCTTTTTGGCCCACCCAGTGTCTGCACACACATCACTTCCTTCAGGTTCATTAGGTGGCCCCTGAAAGTGAGAGCAGGTCCAAGAGGCTCCAGCTGCCTGGCTCCCTCACACCCCAGACTGCGCTTGCCAACATCTGACAAACATCAGTCTCTCTCTTGACAGGCACAGCCTCCAAAGAACCCTTCTCAGGCCTCTGATGCTTTGGGGATGCCCTGTTTCCTCTTTGTTCCTCTCAAACCAAGCACAAAAGTCATACTCTGTTCCCTGGAAGAGTCTGGAGCTAATACTTCTTACCTCAGTAATTCATGGGTTCAGGAAGCCAAGCCCTATTTCTGCCACCAGCACTTCCTTCCTCCTCTTCATAACACCCTGACATCTCCTCCCTAACCCCAAAAATCTCCAAAGGGAGAATTCAAGTTCACTGAGACCCTATTTAGAGCCAGAAACTCACCAACATTCTCACAACAATGCCAAGAGATACTTGATACTGTTCCATTTCACAGATGGAAAAACCGAGGCTTCCAAAGGCTCAGGAACTTGCCCAAGGTCACACATCCATTCCATTCACAAGCTGTGCTCCAGCTGCACAGACTGTGTGGTGCTCTTTCTCAACCCTGTACAGCACACATACTATTCCTTCTGATCTTCTGCCCTCTCTAATTTCTTTGCCTGCCCTAATGCTCCTCATCTGAAGTCTCAACTCAGGCCACCTCCTCCAGGAAGTCCTCCTGAATCCACACCGCCCCACAGCTCTTCAGCCACTGGTGTTGTGAGATGTCCCAGCATTTGCAGGTATCCTGGGTGGTAACTGCCCTTGCTTGGTGTCCTTTCCAATGGTATGTGGTCCTCTGAAGGGCGGGTGCTGGCTCCTGTTCTGGACATGGCCTCCCCCCCGCATCTGTAGGGCCTGAACACATGCTAGTGTTCTGCTCCATCAGGGCTGCCCAGACTTGGGCCTTTCACATAGACAACATTCATGACTTCAGCTATTTCCATCTACAACCTGTACTATTACTTAGTTAGTATTTTTCTTCCAATTGACTCTTTTTTCTAAGTGCATTTTAAAGAGAAAAAAAGTAATCATTATAAATGGAAAACCAATATCACTTGGCATAAAAAGAAGGCAAATAAACACAAGACTGTTACAATTAAAATTGTTCATCTGCAAACCACCTATCATTATTTCACTTCCCACGCTATGAGGGCCACTGGGCTACATCCAGCTGCCTCTGAAGTGCTGGGAATGTCCCATTCCCATTCCAATTGTGACAATGACAATCCCTCATGCAGAGGAAGCTGTTGTCACTGTACACAGATAATTAATCACTACATAATGTGACAAAGACCACAACGGGGATGTGCATGGTGTATTGTGGGTTATGGAAACTGGGTGTGAAAGGGGAGGGAAAAAACACCCAATTTAGGGTGGCTTCCTGGAGGAAGAGCTGCTTGAATGGAGGCTTGAAGAATGCATTTGGAGGGCGTGAGCTGACACTGAGCGGGGAGGACATGCTAGGCAGAGGGCAGCAGTGGCAAAGCCAGGGAGGTGGGTGTGAGCGTCGTTCATGGGAATGAAGCAGTGGACTGAGAGCTGAGCCTGGAGAGGTGCAGCAGGAGCTGCCCAGCAAAGGTCAGCAGCTCTCCGAGGTCCCTCTGCTGGACCATGCCCATCTGCCCATCCTTGCCAGCCTTGTTGGTGCCACCCGCCCCCACTGCCAACACTGTCATTTCACCTGCCCCTGGGCCATTCCACCTCAGCCAGCACCAATGAAACATCCAGTTCCCAGGCCTTGGCTGCTCTAAGTGCCCCAATTAAAAAATCCTAATGGATAGATGAGGAGAGTGAGGCCACACAGATGTTCAGCATCCAGGCAACAGCTGGCACTGGGGCCACCAGCCCAGAGCGCCTTCCTCAGTGGGAAAAC